ATATATATACGCTTGTGGGCCATGTCGAGTGGACATATCCACTTGGTGCTGTTGCTTCTGAGGAGATACAATGCAAGCGCAGATTCATAGGCAAGTCGAGGTCTCAGAACGACATATTATGCATGAATATTAACAAAAACCATTAGAGGTCTATATCGCCAAATTCGACATGAAAAAAATAGCTAGCACCTCTTTTTGTGCACCATAGCCGGCTCCACCTTTTTTTCGCCCACGTTATGTTTGAGCATACATAGTTCCTTCTGAAAGTTTGACATATGGGCGAGTACACACATACATAAAAGGAAATACTATTCGCTGTCGCTGCATCCAGTGTCGCTGCAAACCTGTAGGCACAAACGGCTCGTTTAATCAATAGATTTATCAATCGACCAAAGGCAGATACAGGTGTAGCTCTAGCTATGCCCGCGTAATGAACAACGGGGCGAGATATACACAAACTAGTGTTACGTTTAAAATCACTCACCTTCGCTGGCGAGCTTCTTGCGGCGGGCGTAGGTCCCAGGATTTCCCGAGATGGTGCTGATTGGCCAATACCGTAATTACCGGTATCCAATTGCGGTACACTGCCCATGCGATTGCCGTGCGGCCCCACCGGTCTTTAGCACACAGCAATGCGGTCAGCTCTTGTGCTTCAGTCCTTTCCGCGCCTTGGCACATGGAGTGTTCGTTGGTACTATGTACGTTGTCGTGAGCGTCTGATGGTGTTACGATAGACCTTCCATCGTGTACGGCCGAATGTTCGGAGGTATTTTCACCTGTACGTGTTTGCAAATGGGCGTCTGCTTCAGTATGTATGTGTAGGTCTCGCTGTGCAATGCCTGCTTTCCTTTGTTTGGTCAGTGTCTCTATACCAGGCCCCCCTTTCAGAGGTACAGCCCTACTACACGTCTCCGCAGTTTCGAGTAGCATACGCACGCACTCCACGTGCCCACCCCATGCTGCGTAATGCAGACAGGTCCATGCATACTGATCTCTGTGCATGAACATGGTTCTCAACGGGCGTTGGTGTGAAGAAGTATCATTGAAGAGATATCTCAGTAGAACAATTAGAGATTTTGGCCCGGATTTGGCCGCCAGATGTAATGCATTTGCTCCCCGACCGTTAACCAGCCAAGGGTTCGCACCATGACGCAACAGAATACTGAGAAGAGCTTCTTTATCCGATCGAGTCTCTTCTGCGGTACTCGAAGTATCACCAGCAGCTGCTTGCTCCCCTGTGTTCGCACATGTCATTCTAGTACCCTGGAGACAGCTATTGTTGTCTCGTTGACTAGTCCTGGTTTGTTCGGTGTCTGTGGTGTTGGTTGTGGGTGATTCCTGGACCTCATAAGCCGCTGCGGAAGGTACCGAACTTTCCGTCACAATAGCCTGCAACAGAGGACTCATCCGCTTGCACGTCCGCGACGTCCACCCGTCGACAGGTACTTGCTTGGTTTTCAGCAGACACTCGACTATTGGGATACAACCCATACGCGCGGCCCTGCACAGAGAGCTGATACCTTCGTCACGCAGCACCACGGAGTCAGAGAATAGTTCCGAATCTGTATACGGCATCCCGTCTGTTGGATGGCGACGATACAAAGGAAGTCACTTTCGTTGAAAACTGGACATCTTGTTACAGGTGAAACTATGTAGAATAAATTTTGGTATGAAGGGAATCAGGTATGCTTGCAGGGATCAAAAGGGGTCGTAGGCGTAGAACAGACTATATATAACAATCGTAGACTAAATTTACAACTACAACTGGAAGGCTACACGGCTGAGATCAGACTAGGGAAGAACGAAAGCAACAAGGAGTACATATATCGAGTATTGCTAACCAAAGCTAAGGTGAATTAGCCTGAGAGTGAGGATTAATGATGTTCCGTCAGTCTTATACGGCCCATCACAATCACACAGAAGATATGATGATGTGGTAGGTGTACAAATGAGTTGCACGAATGACATTGATGATCAACAAGCAATATTAGTCTTCTAGATGTACACGTACTCAATGAGCTGCTTACCTCCGCGCTTCGACAGCTCGTCATTGTCATCCTCCATATCCATCACCTCAACAAAATTCAGACCAGCGGTATAATTCGCCGTTACATCAGGCGCCGTTGTCATGGCAACGCGCAGCATGACCACAAAGTCTTTAAGGCGTGGATTCTTGTGCAAGCCGCAAAGAAGTCCTCTCGCTGTTTCGTCACTCATGGTCAGGTGTGTAGTGGTGCTTGGCTGTGTGTTCATTGTTGAATCCATACTAGTGTTTTGCTGTGTAATAACCATTGAATGAGTACGCATTGTGCTGTTCTGGCTTTGCTTGGCTGTCTCAGATGTTTCTTCTGATACCGTAGATGTGGCACTCGATTCATCAGTGTCTTGCAAGCTACACTGTGGTGGTGTACTAAAGATTTTGCTTGCATCAGTCTGTGTATTTCCAATGTCTGACCGCGCTCCAGCACCCGAAATTAAATTTGTGTAGGTAATATTATTTTTGTTATTGCTGGATGTATTGGCATCAGGATTCCCCAGGTTTGCAATCTCATCTCGTATCGCTTGTAACATCTGAATGGCTCTCAAGCTATCACCACCGCTGTTGAAAAAATGTGTCAAAGGGCCTATCAGAAGCGCACCTCGATTGTTGTCTTGGGTTCGAATCTTCGCACTCAAATCTGACCTATCCTCCAGACTGACCCCTGATTCTGCTTCATCGTTACGTGTGTGAGTGCGTACACTTGCATCCTCACGCACACCACCGCCGTTCAATTCAACTGCGTCATCCGCCTCGTACGGGGGAGCATCCCCCAGACAAAGCACCCGCATCCAAATACGCGCCACAAAGCGCTCCATCTCGCCTTCCAACTTCCCCGCACCTCTTTGGCGCACATGCGCATCGTTCTGCTCGAGGCTGGCGTGCGTTTCCTCGTACTCTTCATCATTCTCACCCAGCACAAACCGTTCGATATCACCATATGGCTCTAGCTCCAGCTGCTTGATGCCTACGCTTACCCCGTGAATCTGTGTTGAATTATTTACGTCTGTGTGTGCCTGGTGTTCGTCATCGCTCCCGTCGACGTATAGCTTGGCCGTGTGTTCATGCAGGTGCTCGTTTTCTCCATCTCGTACACGTCCAAATTTCTCTGGTTGGCGGTTGACTGTGTGCCCTACACTGATCTCACCGCCCTCGCTCTGATAGTGGTCACTATTGGCATCCGCATTCAGTTGTGCATCTCCTTCGCCATTGTGTCCGCTGGTATGAGATGTTCTCCGAGCATTGAATAAATACTCTTCCGCCATTTCTTTGAGTGCACTACGATTGAGCTTCCTATTGGCCAGGAGGGGCATACTCGCTAAGTCTATAAATAGAACGGGCACTTGATAATCGGGCAAGTGCAGCCGACAATGTATGTGCAAGGCTGTTTCTAAACTCGCCCGCCAATCAGCAAACTCACGTGGTCGAATACCACCTACCCTGTTAGTACCATCTACACTGTGTCCGATGTTATTCCCCTCTTCTGACATGCTGCTGTCTATACACCTGATACCTTCCTTGAGAACCATAAGCGCCACCAAGCGTTGTGATTGCGCGCTTGAGCTGTCCGCACTGTGGACACTCTCAGATACGCCGCTGCCGCTAAGCTGATCGGAAGTATTCTGTGGATGAGTGCTGCAGGCGTTGTCATCGTCGGTGCTACTGTGTGCTACGGCTGCGCTTCCGCCACCGTTAGTACAACTGCTATTGATTCTGTAGTCCTTCCCTCGGTTGTTGTCACACACAACAACTGCCACACGTTCCACACAGCCACTGGTTGTGATGGCACTCTCAATATCACCGAGATCGACACGCCGACCGCGGACTTTTACCTACCAGTAAGTAACAACACAAAAAGTGAATCAGCCTCTAGTTGTTGATACCTGGCAAGTTGAGACCATGACCTGTCCAGCAGCCTCACATAGAACTGATATAGAGTTGACCATACAAAGAGAGAATCTACAGGCCCACATCATTGTATTCAATAAAAAGGCTGACGACGGCACTACCTTAGCACCATCATGCATGTCGCAGAGCTGTGAATCCTTCCCAGCAATTAAACCCGGACAGTAAAATGGCACAACTAGTCATATGATACGAAATCTTGCGCGAGTTTCGTGGGCACTTTTCGAAATATGCGGATTAATCAAAATCACGTGCACTGTGTGTCAAATATAGTACACGTCTGGTAAGCAGTGCTCTACTTCATAATACATTCATGCCACCCGACCTTAACGTCGCACTAGTACGTTGTTATCTACCATACCTGTGTGTCCAAACGGCCTAAGACTTTCAATTCGCCATCCAATTGTCGCAGACCAAGATCTCCCGTACGGAAGTACTGAACATCATTGAAGGTGATGTATCTCCCTCTGCATGCAGTAAAGAATCCAATGTACATGAAACTATCTAGCAGTGTAACAAAAGAAAGGTCATACAGAGTTTGGTGATTACGTGTATAGAGAAAGGAAGCAGAGATCAAGGTCATGCACGCGTACTGCAGCAGTGTGGGCTGGTCGGTTCGGCATAGGTGTGCTGTGACCGAATCTAGATAAGACTCGCAACTTCAATCTCATCGAACACAATTTATGGTGTGTGCACTTTGGAGATGACCAGCGCAAAATTGTAAAGAATGAAATGCTCAATGGAGGCACAAACAGAATATGATTGCTCCAAGCCCTCTTTCAAATAACTGCCGTAATTGGCATTCCTGGCTTCTAAGACTTCAGAAAACCTGACAGCCCTGTTACTTGACGTTTACTTGTATCACAACGATGGTCCGTTGCTGCACATTACAATTGCTCATGCAGACCTGTGTGCGAGCATGTGTATTAATCCATATATAGGCTTTCGATCACATTAAGGCATTAAGGTGAACAAGCGTGCTGATTCGATTATTATAAACAGACTCTACAGACTGCATACATGCATATATATATATCTACCTGGTGAGAGCAGGGTCTCCATGATATCTTTCAGAGGTTTGTGTCCCGCCCAGCACTATCTCACCCACCACATCAGTTCCCAAATCCTTTAGAAGGTCGCCTATCTCGTTATAACCACCGCATATATTGCAAACACCGTCTGTAGTGGTTCTAGCGTCTTTCACGACAACATCGCTACACGCTCCTGAACAAGCACACATGCACGAATGTGGTGATACCACCAGCGCATGTACACCGTTCAGCGGGCGCCCAATAATGTTCATTGGCCTGTCTGAGTGGAGTTCGGACCATGTCTGATACACTGTGCCCTCGGTTGTGCCGTAGACATTGTACATTCTCAAGCCTTGTGTGTTTGCCTGCAATCAACACAATGAGAATGTTACATGAGGGGCGCAGAAATAGTGATAAGCCAGTACATAAGGAGTGTCATGCGTGAAAATAAATGAACCGATAGCAAGTTGCAACTACATCAGCATCATGCCAGAGATATGTTGACCTTGAACGAGCTCTCTAAACAAAGCTAACTTTGATGATTATACGCGAGTCCATGAGCTGGTTTTCATGGAATGTTATTGCTCGTTGTGAAGCAGGTTCTATATACATACGCTTACGTAGTAGGAAGCACCCGTAGAGGATTTACTGTGTGAAATACTGTTCAGTTTTTCACGCGCAGGAGTGAATGTTCTTTGAAAGATATCAACTAGCGTAGAGAATGCACTGTGTAGAATACTGCTCAGGATCTCACACGTAGGAGTGGATGCTAAATAAAAGTCATTGACTAGTGCAACACGAATTTGCAACGTCGGGACAGTGCGTTTTGTAGTTGAAGACAATTGCATTCCACACACAATACAAATTAAAACATCTGTCCAATATTGTCTTTCTTTTTCCAGTGCCTGTTGCGCATAGATGAACCGCTGAGAGCCTAGCTATGGCTCGTGCAGCAGCATTGAAGACGTATAACAAGATGTTTTTAATACATTGCGTTTGATTGCTGCAATCCCATTTATATAGGACACGCCAATCGACAACAGCTACAAATGCTGCGTACACGATAACACTACAGCCCAGTGTTCCATCATCAATGCTAAATTGGTTACATGGAATGAATATCGTCACCCCTCTGAGGTACCCGGCTAAAGTTGTAGTTGTCACACATTCAATGCAACATAAACCACATTGTTTGAACCAAATCCTTTACTCTCCTGCTGTCTTTAATACTTTTTTAAACTCGATATTATTTGGCAATTCACACACGATCCTAAGTGTGACAAGCTCAGCTCACTAGATATGCACGTACACTGTTCGGCGTGTGCATATAGACTGTATCACATGCACAACCCCACAGACTGTGAAATACTTGAGCTCACGATCAATTCTAGACAAAAGGCCTACCTCTGTTTTGCACCAAGCAGACACCATGTCAGCAGGAATGCGTTCTCCTCCTAAGCTCAAGACTTGCACGCTCGGCAAATCACCCGGATGCGCACCCACCAATGCCCAGTGAGACGGCGTGCAGAACAAATGGGTCGCATGCGATTTATGAATAGCGCTGTACAACGAGTGAAAAAGTATAAACTCACTAGAGCCTATGTACTACAGCGTTCTGACAGTTTGAAGGCGATCATCTGTGGTGTTAAGTACAATAGCCTGAAACCAGATAGCTCATTTGACTACACCATTGTCACTATCCAGTTGAACATCACTGCTTGATGGTTTATACTGACAAGCAAGTGATGAGATTGGAGACCAACTTGCAATTAAGCGCCTAAGCAGTATCAGTGACAAAACATGAAACGAAAAGTTTCATGGTAGACTTAAAACAGCAAACGGTACTGTTGCTATCAAAACTCATATATTATGTACTGCATTGTATTTAGACAAACTTTTCCAATCCACTTGTAACGCCGGAAGTCAAATTGTCCTACGTATGATTTTACTGGATCCTAAATCTCAATGAAATACCGCAAAGATATCTGACGCCGTATAGACAATTTTTAGAAATGCCTGGCTGCCATCTCATAGAAATCTAACAAGCAGCGGGAATTATCTACATGAAATTTATGGGCGATCTAGCGTTGATTCGATGTGTTCTCCTGTCTCTCCGCTATCTCTTGTATCCACTGCCTATGCGTATCTACTGCCAGCTCTTGGCTCCCTGTATGCTCAATGCTAACAGCCCAGAGATCCTATTATACCTTGACAATAATGAAGATTCAACCGATTCTATTCACGATCAAACTAGCTCTACAAACACTTTCGAGCCGTCTCTCGCCTAAAGTACTCCATCAGATACTCGTAATAAACAGGATGAAATACATCTATGGGAACAGATAGCCTTCATCTAAAATGGACATCAAAGACACATAATTTTGAAATAAAATTCACACGTGACATTTGTTGCGAGAAACAACCCCGCGTAATTTGCAGGAACCACTGTCAGAACAACAAAGCAGTTTATTTACACCAACAAGCAAGCATACATTACATCCAATCAGGGCCAAGCGAAGAGAATCTAAGTGGCGAATCAATCGTCGGACTGCTTGCACTTCTGCACACAAACTGACACAGACAAGTATATAGGCAAAATGTGAATAGTATGCGAAAGGACTCGACGTTCATCCAGCGGAGACAGATTAGAAGACTATTACGCCGAGAAAAAAAAGGGATCCAACGCCATAAGCAAATGCACACATATCCGCGCAAGCCTACATTACAGATCCAATCGTTTGCAAACACTTGCAAACCAAACCGGCGCGCATGGTCAGGTATTACTAGATAGAGCAGATACAATCCTCTTGCACACGCCTAGTCTCACATACCTTCTGAGATTGTGCACAATCATCGCTCGTCCCGCCGTGCACAGTATGCCACCTGCTAACAGCGTGGTGAAGATATCGCCTACAGACGGGTCCCATGTTGGGTTGCTGGTGAGAAGCACGCGTGAGCTTTCAGCTATTCCCAATACCATGGCACTCTCTGTGCTGAACTTGTGGATGGCTTCCTGAGAGCACACAACGCCTTTTGGTATGCCCGTGCTCCCAGATGTGTAGATTACGTGTGATAGCGGTTTTCCAGTACGTACGACCGGCCGTGCGTGTGGGCGTGTACTGGGATTGTGTGTAGATGCCTCTACGCTGAACTCCTCCCCAGCAGCTTCTCGTTTCAAGATTTTGCGCACCTCCGATAGGCTTACCACTACGCACTGGATCTGTGCACTGCTTGCAGATGGTACTGTGCTACTTTGTCTGAGCAGTAAACTGTCCTGAATATCTTGAGTTGTCATATATACACCCGCACGTGTTTGTCCTTGGATCATGTCGCGTCTTACGTCTGGCAAATCTGGGTCAAGTGGCACTACAACACCTCCCGCCCACAAAACGGCCAGTGTTGCCACCACCAATTGTATGCCATATAATCCACACAGAATAACATATGGCTGCACATCCGTGTGTTTATCCTCGGCCTCATCAGGCCCTCGATTCGAGTGTGCAGGTGCGTGTGTGTACTTGTGCTCGTCCTTGCCTGCACTTCCTTGCCCCCTTGCACGTACGTGCTGTACGTTTGGCTCCCTGGTGCCACTACCAGTCCCAACTTCAGTATTGTGTTGCTTGGCAGTTAGACGTAGGTGCAAGCGGGTGCCGAAGTATTCTGCGAGCCCCAGCAGTTCACTGTAAGTCACAGTCAGCGGTTCGTGCGCATCTGACACTTGGTAGATAGCAATAGCACCACCCTGCCGATGCACCACCTTTGCAACCGAATTGTACAGCATCCTGCTGTTTCAAATTGTATGTGAAGTGCACGAGGAGGCTGATAGTATGAGACCGACACATAGGCTCAATGAATGTAAATGTATAGGATGTACCACTGGATCCCGGACACTGATCTGTTAAATAAGAGATTGAGCAGCTCTATAGAACGAGCATAATTGCTTCAAGCATCAATAGTTTGGATCTAGATATACTTCTGTGATAGGGCCGGATAGTTATCCGTGAAAAATTAAAACTATAACTTTGGGTTGCAATTTACATTTGGCGATTAGACCTGGACAAACTCAAACTAGCAATCAAAGTTTATAGGTTTGTATTCATTTTCGTAGGATCGCATTACTATTTGCTGACCTCACATCTATTTCTAAACTAGAGTAGGTGTGGTATGTCAACGTTATATTTGGGAAGTACATAATTACGAAGAGGAATCAATGTAATTTGATTACCAGTTAGGAGGAATCAATGTAATTTGATTATCAGTTAGGAGGAATCAATGTAATTTGATTATTAGTTGCAAGCATATACTATACGGGTACCTACGTAAGTGTGGAGTATCTTCATACTTTAAACTTTATCTATAGTCACACCCAAAAAACGCTATTCGATTATTTTTACTTGATTGTGCAATACTACGCAGTAATGAAAAGCGCTAGGAAATTATGTAAGAATGTTTGTCACATATCTACTACTGCCGATGTGCTTCTTCTGGGTTTCAAATTGGTAATAACGTATATATTTAGTATAAACAAAAAGCTAGAACATCTCATAGTATTGACGGATAAAAATAACACCCCTTTGGATAGCTGTCATGGTTAAAGTGTAAAATCCTACCAGCAAACAAATCAAGTGCAAGAGACCGAATGCAGTGATTGTCAGAGGTTGTAACAATTGGCGGTATACTGGAAGTCTAACACGTGTGGGGACGGATGTGTATTTACAAAACTCACACACGCTCTTACGATGCTACTGTATGCATGCCGACAATCCCAATAGTTTCTCGATACGAGCACGGATTACTACAACCAAAATTATGGATCACAATGGTAGGAAACGTAATTATGTCGTAACTAGGTGCTACTTTAAATAAATTGTAGTAATCTCGGGCAAAAGTTTTGGATCACATTGCTGTAGAAGTATACGACCTAAATAAATACATACTAGGTAGTACACATTGCTCTGTACTAACATCACTTTCGATGTATGCAGTTGATTGCGCCTCTTTGCAGACAGAGTTGTTATAGATTCCCATTGTGTTTGTATTGCATATATGTACAATAGTAGTTAAGGTGAGTTGACGAATAATCCATATATTAGTATGTACTACCATCCATGCATTTATACCATAGTATAGTCGTGTGTGTACTCCTAGAGCATGGTCTAGTGTGTAGTTTTAATTTACGCTACGTATCGATAAGCAAGTGTGCGCCCATGTGCATACATATGTGCCTACTCGCATTTAAACTTCAACATTAAATTCCGACGCAACTGTATTTTGGTGATCAATCAAGGTCAACCAGTGTTCAATTGAAACGCCCGCTTTGGACACAGGCTGTTGATCCTATATGTGTGCATGAGGAGTTAGTATGTGATCGCTTTGCAGTGTTGTAGACGACATGTACCTCAATTTAGCAAGTGATGGACCACTCCTGGGCCCTTCATTCCCTTTATCACATCTACACTGTAAGTCGTATCCCTTCATTCAAATAGTGCATCGCCCTATAGCTCTGCCTCTTCGCGATATGATTCCAGTACACTTCTTGCATCTTGTGAATTAATAAGAATCATCTGAAATATTTCGAAGACAGAAACCTTTTTGAGAAATATCTGTGGTGAACTGGTGATTAATGGAAGGATGAATTTTCATTGGTCAAGTTGCAAACATTTTGCCGTTGAAGCGTGATTTTATTTCTCAAGAGTGTATTTACTATAAATAGGTAAATACGCTACTCGGTAATCTTGAGCTACTTGTGTTCAACACAAGTGCGCATACAGCACTTTTCTATAATCTGTTCTAAAGCTCAAGCTTCACACCTGTCACTGAGGGCCAGGTGAGGGCTATATATTGTTGTGCGTACTTTGCAGTCCACCTCCTAGATACGTCTACTGCCAGAAGTCCATTAACAAGTGCGTGCACAGCAGGGCAGAATGTACCCCAGCGTTGGGCTTCCCTTGCACTGTGCATACCTTGTGTATGTAACCTAAATTCAGAATTATCCATTGTGGCTGTGTTCCACGGAAACCTGCCAGTTAACATACCGAACAGCACCACTCCAGTCGACCAGACATCGGCGGATTTGAAGTCTGTGTGTGTTAAACTTTCTCCGCGACTGTGCGAATCTAATATTTCTGGCGATATGTAGGGAATTGTACCAGCCAATCCTACGTTAAAGGTGCGAGTTGTATCTAGTGCTTCTCCAAAGTCTACCACCTTGACGGTATAATCCTCCGTCAGCACTATGTTTTCTGGCTTTATATCCCGGTGCGCGACGTTCACTGAGTGCATAAACTCTACAGCTGCCATGATTTGGGCAAAGTAGTAGATCACGTGCTGTTCTGGTAATCCTTGATCGAGGGGAATAGAGTCCAGAAGCTCTCCGCGACTACAGAATTCCTTTTGAGTGTATAGAGACAAATTTCATCAATTATTTATAATAGATGGTTCAACTAGCAGATATATTTCAAAACGGCCCGAACTTCTTTAGAGAGTGGATTCGATAATAAAATATGAGAAACATACCTGAACGAATGTTAGCTCTCCCTGGGATTCGTATGTACCATAAAGGTCTACAATATTGGGATGAGATGATACGATTCGGTGCAGAAACTCTTCTTTGCGGAACCTTCTAGTGGAGGCCATTGACTTTTTCAACACTTTACATGCGACGTATTGGTCAGGATTGCTCAAATCTACTGATCTGTATATGTTTGCAGTGGTACCCGATTGCACCTGGTTCACATGTCTGAAGCGCAGTGACAAATCGTCCTGACCCGTTCTTTGAAAGTATCTATCCAATGTTTCGCAACTACCAGAGTCTAAAGTAGACGTGGAGGATGTCATTGAAATGTTGTCATGACTCATATGAAATGCTGGTACACCCTGTGACATGATCTGGTGCTCTTCCTCCCTAAGCTCAGAAGGTAACTCTATAGCTGGTGCTGCGGACCTTGTGGAGTCATTGTGTGCCGTTGGGGATGGTGATAGGCACGGTGCGTATAACGACCAAATATAATGAGCGGTGGCAGTCATGATGTGAAGATGTGTTTATGTATCTTGCAGTGTCTTCAAATGCTCGATGGTGGACTAAGTACCTGGATGACATATGGATTGCCTTTATACGTTTTTAGTCTGATGTATAATATGTGTGATGAAAAGTACTTCAAATTCGAGTTGCTGGGCAAGAGATGACAAGGGGTATATTGTTGGGTAAGCTGAATTAGTGAGCTATGAATTCTTGCAATTTCGATGGCTGAAAATATGTTTGCCGCAGATTTCGGGTGCATTGGTCTCTGTCGAATATCAATCTGAAACAGATTTTGATTACTTTCCACCAATCAGCTGGTGATAATTTGCTGTAAATTATGCTCGCTGGGCTATACTGTACTGTGGGTACAAATGTCTGAGAAGACAAATACTCCCGTCACTATGCATAAACGTAAAAAACCGAAGACACCAGCTAGAAATTCTATACTACATAAAACATAAAATTTTAATTTCAGTAAAATCAACAAATTTTAGGTCACTTGAGTAACACTAAAAAAAAATATTTTAATGCTTTCGATAAAATACATTACCAAAACGCTTACATGGACATAAAAAAAATTATTAAAATTACTAAAATAAAATAAAACACTCATGACATTTTTTTTTTAAACCAATAGCCCTCTAAGCATAGCCCTCTAAATTTAAAATATTTACTACAATAAATACACTCTATTTTTATAAGTCTCTATATAACACCTGTTTATTTACATGTGTAAACTTCGA